AGCTTAGTGCATGGTGGTAAACCTCGGTCAAGTTTTAGTTTTTGTTATGTAGAGAGCCAGTTTTTCCAGCACCATTTGTCAAAGAGGCTGTCTTTCTTCCAGTGAGTATGTTTGGCCCCTTTGTCAAAGATAATGTGGCTGAGTGTGTTCTTAGAGGCTTCAGCATCTTCTAATCTATTCTATTGATCCTCAGGTCTATTTTGTTGCCAGTACCATGCTGATTTTATCACAGTAGCGTTGTAGTATAATTTCAAGTCAGGAATTGTAATGGCTCCTGCCTTGTCTTTATTGCCCAGGATTGCCTTTGCTATTCTAGGTCTTTTCTGGTTCCAGATAAATTTTAGGAATGTTTTCTCTAGCTCTGTGAGGTATGTTGGTGGTAGTTGGATAGAGATTGCATTAAATATGAAGAGCAATTTTGGGAGTATGGCCATCTTCACAATGTTGGTTCTTCCTATTCAGGAACATGGAATATCTTCCCATTTTCTGAAATCCTCTATGATCTCTTTTTTCAGAGTACTGTAATTTTCCTTGAAAACATCTTTGACTTCTTTAGTTAGGTTAATTCGAAGGTATTTCATTTTCCTCAGTGCTATTGTAAAAGGTATTGTTTCTATAATTTCCCTCTCACTGTTTGTTGTCTGTGTAGAAGAATGCTATTGACTTTTGGATATCGACTTTATAACCTGCTATGCTACTGAATTTCCGTTTTAATTCTAGTAGCATCTTGGTGGAGTTTTTTGGGTCTTCCAAGTAAAGTATCATGGCATCTGCAAATAATGATAATTTAACTTCTTCTTTAGTATTCTTATTCCTTCCTTTTGTCTAATGGCTGTAGCTTGATTTCAGAACTATATTGAATACGAGTGGTGATAAAGAGCATTCTTGTTTTGTGCCAGATCTAAGAGTAAAAGATTTCAGTTTTTCCCCATTTAGGATTATGTTAGCTGTTGGGTTTTCATAAATGGCTTTTACCAGATTGAAGTAGAGGCCATCTATTCCAATTTTCTTTAGGACTTTGAACATGAATGAGTGTTGGACTTTGTTGAAAGCCTTTTCTGCATCAATGGAGATGATGATGTGGTTTTTAATTTTCGCTCTATTGACATAGTGTATTACATTGATAGATTTTCGAATATTGAACCATCCTTGCATCCCTGGGATGAATCCTACCTGGTCATGGTGTATGATCTTCTTGATGATTTGCTGTATTCTATTTGCTAGGATTTTATTGAGGATTTTGGCATCTATGTTCAGGAGGGAGATAGGCCTGTAGTTCTCTTTCTTAGTTGCATCTTTCCCTGGTTTTGGTATTAATATAATACTTGCTTCCAGGAATGATTTTGGGAGGATTGCTTCCTTTTCAATTTCATGGAAGATTTTGAGGAGTATAGGGACTACATCTCCTCCTGATTTTTGCCTCCCTAGTGCTAGGATTACAGGCATGCACCACCATGCCTGGACTCCATCACTGGCTCAGAGTGTCCAGGGGCGGGGCTGGTGTGGCACGCGGTGCCAGGAATGAAACCCTGGACCCTGTGCTTACCTAATCAAGTGCTTAGTCTGCTGAGCTATACCGCTGGCTCTGGAAATTTCTCTTTGATAGACTTTTTGATAATTAGCATTTCACAAATGAGCACAATAACAAATATTTCAAATTTTTTAAAGTACTTGTGAAGACTGAGACAAACTGTAATATCATTCTATTCATAGTTTTCTTTTTAGAGGTACAAATTATGAGAAAACTTGTTCTCATAAATAAATAAAAATGGAAAAAGTTTCTTGAGGAGGCATTTTAAGTATTTCTGAAAAATTTCTTTGATGCCAGGTAAGTAGCATAGATATTAGAGATAATTTTAAGTCATGAATTAAATATTGCAGAAAAAGAATTTGTAGGACAAGATGAAACTATGAATATTTAGCATGATGTTTGAAATATTAGCTCAGGTTTTACGTTTTTCAGACCTTATACTATAGTTTCAATTGATGTTTATAGAGAAATTCCTCAGCCAACTTGCATGATTGATTTTCAGTTTTAATAATTTTTATTCCATAAAATATATTTTCGATTTTTTTCACCATGTCCTATTAGTGCTGCTTATTTAATATGATGCACCAATTTCAATAGATTCTGTATACATTTTAATGGCTTGTTATGATCCTGTTTTGCTTCTCATTAGAATATGCTAATGCTTCTGTGTGTCAGAGAACAAAATCTTTTTTGCTTTAGAATTGCGTCGAGGGGGAGTGGGACTTCTGACGTTTACTTCATTGACATATGCAGTTCTTAACTCTCGGTAAAGATGATACCGTTATTGCTCTTAAAGTACTATAATATTAGCAAGATTGTTAAACACGATTAGTGTAATATTAATGTCAGTACAGCTAGGGGAGATTTAAAATATGAATTTACAAATATCTTAGTCTCAAATGAATAATAATAAGCATGGTCACAAAAATATATTTTTTGAGGTGAAATCACCAAGCTGCTTGTTTCAGTCATAGTCTCAAATGCATGAAGTTATCAGGACTGTTTAGTGTTCCAGGGTTCCCAGGGAGTGTGCACTTCAGAGCACCGCTAGACACTGCTGCAAGCACACGCACATGACGTGCAGTGGCTTCACAAGGCAAAATGAAAACGAGCGTCATAAAGAATATAACATAAAAAGCTAAGGTAATAACGAATGGACCACAGTGATATGGGATAATAATAATTATTATTATTTTTGGTGGAACTGGGGACTGAACTCAGGCCCTTGCGCTTGCCAGGGAAGCGCCTATTCCACTGAGCCATCTCCCCGGCCCAGGATAATAATTATTAATAATATAAAAAAATTTAAAATGTAAGTATTGCATTAGTTTAGGTGCTAAAGCAATAAAACTAGATCTTTTTCCTCTTCATTGACCTACTCTCTCCTGTACATCTTATAGGTTAGTTTTCTTTCACTGAATGCAAAATTAATGAACCCTGGAGGCCCTTACAGCAGTCCTGATCATTCTTAGAGTCAGCCCTTTGGCCACTCTCGTATGTTGGTTGTCATGTTAATTAATTAATTAATTTTTAATTTTATGTATTTGGCACAGGGGCTTACCACACAGATTGGACTCATAGTGATACTCCTGTCTCAGCGTCCCCAGTGCTGAGCTTACAGGCATGTGCCACCATGCCAGGTCTCCGTGACTGGCTCAGGAAGCCTGCAGATGGGGCTGGAGAGGCGTGTGGTACTCAGGATCAAACCCTGGTCCCTGTGTTTGCTTAAGCAGGAGCTTAGTCTGCTAAGCTATCTCACTGGCCTATTTTTGTATTTATTTTTTATTTTTTAAAGAGAATGAAAAATAGTGATTATTAAAAATTAGAACCTATATGGAATTTCAGTAAAGAAATAATATGAATTAGTCAGATTTGTTGTATTGCATAGTGCTGCCTGCCACATGGATTTAAACCACATACAACTGAATGAAGCTTCAGTGCTACTGAACGTTGACAAGTCATTCCAGGTTTAAGGGAAAATGAAGAAGGAGATGCACACTGAGTCAGGCTGCCTAAAAATCTTCTCAGCCTCGTCCTTCAGATATTTCCATCGTGTGATAGGGCTCTGTGACCTGAGAAACTTGTGTATGGAGGCGGAGGGCGGGTTGTGGAAGTGCTTTGGGAAACAATCCATAGTGACTCGAATGTCTTTGAGTAAAGCCAAGAAAATGAACTTCAGACCCCGCTCCTGGCAGCACCTTCAGTTTATGTAGATTGAGGATGGAGTCGGAGCACCTGAGGGCTTGAGTCTTGGCTTCACTACTATGTAGTTTCACGGTAGGACATTTTATTTAATCTTCCATATTTCCACTTTCTCATTTGTAAGATGTGGCTAGTGGTCGTCCAGTTTCAAATGGTTATTGTGAAGCTAGCTGGCATAGACGATGCTTGGTGTGTTTGCAACGTGCTCAGAATTTCCAGTTAGGCTTGAAGATGTGACACCTGCTGGTATCACTGTCATCACTGTTAACAGAAGCAGTGGCGAGAGTTCGGCTCTGAAAAAGAGTTCTGGTTTCCAGTGTCCGCTAGATTTTGTGGTGTAAGTGCTCCCATCAGTGCTTGACTGAGGCTGCCAACGTGAGGCTAGCCAGATGCTTGAAGTCCTGAAAACTGCACTGGTGGCTCTCGTGAACTGGTATGAGTGGTCCCCGGCACACCTGATGGACACGCGAAGTGGTATCTGACCACTTTCGTACTCAAGAGTGTGAGTTGCATTAAGCCTGCGCTCCTGATTGTGGGCAAGTGAGAAAAGAGCTAATAATCCAGTTGGGTGTCAGGCAAATCCTGTAATGCTGCCAGTGCCTGTTGCCTTGGGCTCATTGCTTGATACTGCACACGTACATGCTTACAAAATCACCCAAAGAACTGGACGGCTCTGGACAGAAGTGCATCACGTTGATGTCTTTTGAAAAATCTTTTGTTGAAAATCTTTCTTAATGTTTTCATTGTGAGAAATAGTGCCATTTCCTTGGTTACCAATTCTTGATAGAAGTGTTATTTTAGTCATTCAGACTAGTGGCCTGTCAAGCTTCTGTCTCTATTTATATCCCCTCTATGCGTACAGGTGTTTCACTGTTCATGAACAGTTGTTTATTTATACAATTTATATGTTAAGTCATTGGAACTACTTTATTTAAAGTTATTTTGCTCATTATTTATTTTCTTCTTGTCCAGGCTTTCTACTAGGAGATAAACTCCATCATTGTAAGGGTTACAGTGTTGCTTTGCTTGCGTCAGTTGTAACAACACATCGTGTGTAATAAGTGCTCAGGAAATAGCTGATGAATGAAGAGATGAACGCTACATCCAAATACATCAGAGAACTTTTACTCATTTGGCCTTTGGAGAGCTGGCTTTTTTTCTATTTCTTTTAGCATATAATGTGTGTTAAAAAGTATAGTCAATAGAAGAGAGTGAATTCAACTTGGAAAGTTTCAGACAAATGATGGCTTAATCATTTTATTTTTACTGGTTATTTAGCAGTCATTTAGGGAAGAGCAGATGTTTATAAAAATAATTTCTTATGCCCAAGTGTAGCTATTTTCTTCAAAAGGTGTATGTTCAGAAAGGTAAAGTTCTAGTACAAACTGCAGGCAGTGTGGATAATCAACTAGGTGGATAAGATTCCCCAAAACAAAATCTGCATGATTTATGGGGAAAGATGAACAGTAAAACAAAAATACATGTTCTTTTTACAACAACAGATTCAGAACAAGATGCTTCAGATTGTTTTGAAATCTCTCAGAGTCTGTAAGACTAATGGTTGGAATTCTACAGACAATTACATCATCTTATATTTATTTAAGACTAACTTGCAAGCCCAATTACCCAGATGGCTGGTTCCCTCCTGTCCATTTCATTATCCTGAAATGATCACAGCCTGAAATTGATTTAGGGACTTTGGGACATCTTTATTGTTAGGAAATCTTTTAATGCATCGCTTGTGAGTGCATTAAATGGCCATTAGGGACCAAATGGTTAAAGCAGCTTATCAATAATGTGCTTCTTTCTAAGATTGAAACACATCCCCAGAAGAGTTTCTGTTCCAATAAGCAGCTAAGTGCAAACTCAAATCTATAATATTTTGTAGTCAGAGTGAGAGCACAATCAGTTCTGTAGACTCCAATCTTGCAATGTCTTGCTGGAAGAGTACAAAGCAAAATCAGATTATCTTGTGCCTTAGTGCCTAATGATGAAACCAAAGTTTGCTCCTAGTAGTAACTAAATGCATAGAAAAGAGAATTTGGTTTAGTAAAAACAAAACTGCATGTGTTTCAAAGGTTAATATTTAAAGAGAATAACAAAAGGAATTTATGACTTTTGTTATTTATTTTATATTCATTTTAATGAGAAAAAATAACAATGAAACAGTTTCAAAACAGGTTAGTAGGACAGTTACAATAATTAATACATTGCATGTTGTTGTCTTCATAGTAGTTACAGCTTTTCTAACAAAAGGAACTATCTGAAAACTATAAAAGGTACATTTTGTTAGTGAGAGATTAAAAATGAAACTTCTTGGAATCAATGAAATTGAAATTTTAGAAGCACAGTATGACTTCATTCAAAAATAAACTTCCAAATGTTATAATTTCACATGCAGTGATTTCGAATTCAAAATGAGATTTTAAAAATTATAATCTTTAAACTTAGAATGATCTTTAACAATTACTTTTCTCAGAAGGAAAGTGTAGGTTATATCCTATCTATCTATCTATCTATCTATCATCTATCATCTATCACCTATCACCTATCATTTATCTATCTGGGCATCTATCCTCCATTTACCTCTTATCTATCTATAAATACTAAATAATTAGTTCATTGATAGTTTTTATTTTTTAATGTATTTGGTTGTTACAGTATCTCATTACACAGCTTGGACACAGTGATCCTCCTGTTTTCAATCTCCCCAGCACTGGGATTACACGCATGTGCCACCAGGCCTGGACTCTGGATGGCCCAGCCCCTGGGGGCGGGGCTGGTGCGGCGTGTCGTTCTGGGGATCTAACTGCGGTCCCTACACTTGTCTAAGCAGGTGCTTTAGTCCACTGAGCTATCTCGCTGGCCTGATAGTTTCAAATAAAGTAAGTCTCATGTTGAAAAAATTATGTTTTAGTGTTGATATGACTATGTTCAAATGTTCTTTCCCCCAAACACTCATCATTTACTTAAGAAATAATTTGTGTCAATCATTTTTTCTGGATAATCATCAATTGTGTAAATCTTATATTTCATGTTGATAATAAATTGGAATCTTGAGTTTAATACCCTTTTCAAATGTTGCATTAAAAATTATTTTCTTAAATTAGTTGAGAGCCCATAATTTGCAAATTAAATTATTTTCCTGTGGTGAAGTTTTTCATGATATTTATGTAAAATTACAGACAGGTTTCAAAAGCATCAGAAAGATTATCTTGTTTTCTAACTTTTACAAAAATGGTTGAACTTACCTGCACCCTTTCTACAACCCAAGTTACCGCCTCCTCAAGATTCTCCTAGTCTGAACCCATTTGCCAAATCTTTGCTGATCGATACACTTTGCTTGCAGTTTCTCCTTTAGAGTTTTGATTAAAGACTCCATGAAAACACGTCTTAATTCCTGTGTAGTCCAGATGAGGCGGACTAATCTGTTTTTAGTGAGATGCTGCCCTGTGTATATTGAAAATATGTGTTTCCTTTGGTTGTAACAAAGTATTTACTGCAGCTGGGGAGATAGCTCAGCAGTCTAAGTGCCTGCGTGGCAAGCACAAGGACCCAGGTTTGATCCCTGCTACCGCATGCCTTGCTAGCTCTGGAACTGGGTATGGTGGTGCATGCCTGTAATCCCAGCACTGGGGAGGCTGAGACAGGAGGATCTCGGCAAGCCTGAGCTGTGTAGTGAGACCCTGTACCAAATAAGAAAATAAATAAAAGATTTAAAATAGTATAAGATATTTACCTTAAAATTAGCTCCCGGTCATTGCTGCATGAATCAGTACAGCTTCACCAGCTCTAGTGGAGAATTATGCCAAGAGTTTCTGTGATGAAGAACGGGAGAGTTCAAGCACTAAGTCTTGCTGTAACTGCTGTAGCTGATCCCCTTCAAGTAAAAAGAAACCCAAAGTAGGCCATAAAGTTTTGGATCACCTAGGGCTGGAATCATCCATTTCTTTTCTCTCCCATTTATTTGGCTGTTGAAGATAAGCATGACCTCCTTTTAGATTTTCTGTAGTGTTATCTTAATTGATTTACATAAACAAGTGCCATGTCACTAGGGTCTCAAGATTGAAAGCATGGTTCAGACTTACTAATTTGGATTTCATTCATTCAGAATGCTTTGCAACACAGTCGTGGCGTGAGTTCATGGAGTTTCTCAGTGAACGAGGCCGAGCACACCGTTTGCCAGCACGAGGAGTTGCCTAGAAGCTAAGAAACTGTCTGACATCGTACACAAGTGCTCCACAGAGGCAGGACTCCCACAGTTCTGGGGACCCGAGTCCCATCTACAGGCAACTTACAAGAAGAAAAATCCTTCTCACATCATTTAGAAACTCCAGTTATATATAGAGCTTGATGAAGGCTTGCAATTTCTCTGACTCACGGATGCTTTACTATGTGTGCTCCTTAGGTCCTAAAATAGCAAGATGGGAATTTTCCACCCAAGTTGGAGGGACAAATTTCTAACTACATGACATCGGCAAATACTTGAGTGAGTGAGAAGATCTTAAAATAACTGCGGTATCATTGTTAAGCAATTCAAAATTGAGTTTAGTCATAGAGTAAACCAATATGAGGAACAGAGATGGAGAAATGGAAAAATAAGGAAAGGCTTATAAAAAAGAGAAATGATGAAACACAAAATCCACTTGGAGATAAACTAGTCATCGGGTGTTAAATAATTTTAACTCTAAGTTTGTGAATAAAGTAGAGTAGTGGCTAGTTACTCCAAAATGGATTTTAAGGCCCAGACGGAGAGGAAATGATTTATATCTCCCTTTTGAGTACACAGCAGAGATGATCAGTGATGTGGACATGAGCGACACTTAAGAGGGTTGCAGCTGTCACAACCCACCTGACTGCCATTGGGAAGCAAGTGAGACCCAGAGAAACAAAGTTTGGGATGATGCCTACCAGACGAAGCAGAGAAAATGCTAACGGAAAGGCAGTCCTTAGACAGAAAATCAAGGGAGAGCAAAAATGAAAGGGCAAGAAATGATCACCGAAAGTATTCATCAGTTTTGTTTTCTAAATTTTACAGTGACTAAGTCACCTAGTATGATCCAAGGAAGGAAAAATATAATATGTCAATAATAAAGTATAAAATCCAACTGCTGAGGGCATGGAAAGATTACAGAGTGAGGCCGAAATTATAAAATGCTAATAAAAGCTACATTGGCAACAGTAAGCGTTTTTGCACAAGATGCTAACATGATGAACAAAACTTTTGGAAGAGTGTAGCACTAAATGTGAGGGCCAACTTAAACTAACCCTGCCAAAGAGCAAAGGAAAACCCACAGGTGGAAGAGGTGTGTGCAGGGTTAAAACGCACCAAGCATCTTGTGTCTGGGTTGGCAGTAATACAGTCTCCCTTGCTTCTTTAGGCTTGAGGACATGGAAGATTGTTCCCCCACTGCTGGGGTGGGGATTCTATTTAGAGAGTCAGATAGAGGCTGGCCTGGTGCTGAACCTGAAGACGTTGTAGCCCTGGTCAGGAGGCTGTGCTGCCCTTTGGCACAGTCATGGCCCAGGTCATAGGCTTGGGCCTTGTCCAGTCTGCTGCTTGGCAGCTGTCTGAACTTTGGCGAATCATGTTAACTGTGGGAATCAGTTTCTTCAAAGTTATTGTTTAGGTAAAACCATTCCTCAGCTCCTCCTGAACTGCAGCATCTAGAAAATAAACCTGTGAAACACAAAATCCCAACTGCCCTTGGTCCTGTTCTTGGATCTGCATAAGCAAAGCCTGGGTCTTGGGAGAGAGAATACCTGAATTCCCGTTTTCTTTTCTGTGATTTCAGATCCCAGGAGTGATCAAATGCCAGGTGGTGACTTCATGCCCACCTGAAGTGAACTTAAAATAGAAACGCTGTGTGAGAAAGTCTTGTCATTTCTTTGAATCTTTGCTAGGAGACAAGCCCAAGGATCTTTTTTTTTTTTTTAATGCCAAGCTAAGAAACAATTTATCATAGAAAGAAGAAAAATTTCTCATCCAAAATATAGAAATCTGCACAAGTTTGCCATAATCATTACACATGAACTGTACAAATTTATACCAGTTCATAATTTACCAAATAAAAGATGACTAACAAAGTTCACAAAATAGATGGTGGTTTGTGGAAAAGACTTTTACCCAATTAAGTACTAGGAAAGTTGCAAACCAGACCTCCACTTTCTAAAAACAAGAAGTTTGCTCAGTGTTAGAAAACTACAAGCTAGCAAATATACAGAGAGCTGGCTGGTGCTAACACCACAGTCGAGACAGTGCCTCTGTGAAGCCTGCGGCCCTGGAAGATTCTGGTCACTGGCCTCTTCCAAAGCCAAAAACACAGCACGAGGTCTGGCCATTTCCGCAGGTCATGCTTACTAGTCTGTCTTTATGTGTTTTCATACATGTTTAAGTGCTAGGTAAAACTCTTGTCGTAAAATTGCCAGCACTACCACATTTAAAACAGACTTTCCTACTGAGCTGCCAGAAAAGGTTATCGGTAACAATTTTCAAGTGTAATAGTGCAAATTCCTCTGCCAAGGGCTACTGCAGAGAAAGGTGTTCTGAAATAGGTACTCTCCCTAGAGGGACTGCTGGAAAAAAGAAATTCAGTTGTGTGGGAGAGACTGAGGCCAGCCTAGGCCCTGGCTCCCTAGCAAATAGTGATTGTGCGCTTGGACCCACAGGCTACTAAATCCCTGAAAGGCACTGTCCAAACTATGGCACTGTCACTTAGAAAAAAATTTTTACCACTCTACCTTGTGCCAGATCTCCACAGCTGTGACATGGTTTAAATTCCATAATCCATCCCCAAGAGGAGCCCACCCAAAGCAAATTCAAATTTATCCATCCTTTATAAGCCCTTCGAAAAACTACAGTATGGGGACTGTATCAGGTTAAGACACATCTGTGGATCAAGTACTTGGACTCATCCTCGTCCAGCGTGGTGTGCTGAGAGCCCACCACCGGATGGGAGGCTCTGGGGTGTATAAACGCAAGTCCTGCTCTGCGAAACTCACTATGATGGACTGCATTTACCTGAAAGAACCTTCACAAAAGTGTCCGAGGTACTGTTCGGAGACGCTACGCTCATTTTCCCACATGAAAAGAACACAGAAAGGAAGGGAGCAACAATGGTTAAATCGGTGTACTTGTTTCATTAAGAGTTACTTTTTGGTGCATTTTTATGACTTTAATGGGGCACTCGATCAAATTTAGTTCACCGTCAGTTATTGGATGTGTCACAGGCGCCCTGGCTTCTTTGGGAAGGAGAGAAGCAGCCGTCACACCCACATACACGTTGAGTTTTCAGACATGTTCCAGTTTCCGATTTCTTTTTTTTCCAATTTCTTTAAACATGAGAAAAATATGATTTATAATTGAAAATAGAGTTTATCAAATGTGACGAACTTCTCAGTTTCTAAAGATTTGTTTTTGGGGCTAAGCGGGCCTCCGGAGTAAAAGGCCAGCGGGTGACCTCTCGCCCTTGCACGCTCAGGCACGCGTCTGCGCGCAGCAGTGCGGGGCGGCGCTGCCCGCAAGCCCGAGGCCGCTGGCGAGTCGGGTCGGTGGGCGCCTCCGCGCCCCGCTCTGCGGCTCACTCCAGACGCGCGTGTCTGCGCACAGGCCGGGAGCGTGGTGTGCGGGACTGCTGGGCCTGAGTCCTCACTGAGCGTGGAGAACGTGGGCGCAGGAGCGAAGAAACTGTCCGTCTCTCCAGCGTCCACCTGCACCCTGCGCAGGCACAAGTCCGAGGGGTACGCGCTGCGCTGAGGGGGCAGGCGCACAGGCAGTTGCAGCCCGGCTGCAGGCTGCGGCCGCGGAGCGCAGCGGGCGTGCTTTGGTTTTGCTCGTGCGTGTACAGAAGCACTCTCTGGCTCGCCCACGCATGTGGAGCTCACTAAACCACACACATGTACCTGTCAAGGGACGAAAATGCATGCTCACACAGTTTTTAAAAACTTATTTTTTTTGAAAAACTAGGTTTCAAGTGATATGAACAGTAAACTTCGGGCCAAATAGATGTGGAAATGGGTCTTGGGTGCCAAATCAGATTTGGACCAAAAATTGTCTATAGATATTCCTGCCAAAAATATTTGTTGTGGGTCAGAATTTCTTTTTGTATAAACTTATAAAAAATTCTATATTAGGTATATGGTGTGTTATATGAATAAAATCATGTTGAAATAAGCTGGTAAACTATTTCCTTTAAAATATGCACATATTTTAACTTAATTAAAATGTGGTAGGCTAGATGTAAACTATCCGATTCTGAAGTACTTTCCCCCTTGTAGGTCATACAGTATTACAAGAAGCCAGTATCTATATTGCCCCAAAATTTGTATGCTAAGATCCTGACGCTGAAGGAGACGCTATCTGAAGGCGGGGACTTTGGGAAGTGGGTGGGTCATAAGGGGAGAGCCCTCAGGCCCGGGATCCGCGTTCTTGGAACACTGGAGTCGGAGAGATCTTTTCTTCTCTCTGGCACGTGAGGACCCAGAAAAAGACAGCCTTCAGTGAAACATGAATACACCGACTTTGGACTTCTGGCTTTCGGAACTTAAAAAATAAATTAAATTTTAAAAATCTGTAAGTCTGTGCTGTTTTTTTTTGTTTTGGGAGCTGGAGTGAAGGGAGATGCCTATGAATAACTTTACCAATTATTTAGCTAACACATATGGAATGTGATAAGAGATGGATGAATAAAATTGTAAAGTAATATACAATGTAACAGCCATCGTTAAATTCCTATCGTCTTGGTTAGATTCTCCATCATTTATAATTTTTTTTTACTAGTTTTTATTCTCTTTAAAAATAAACAGAATAGGGCCGGGGAGATGGCTCAGTAGAATAAGCGCTTGCTTGGCAAGCACAAGGGCCTGAGTTCAATCCCCAGTTCTGAGAAAAAAAAAAAAAAAAAAGTGAAAAAAACAGAATAAGTGAAGCTAAATAAAAAATATACATATTCAAAAAAATTAAATAATGTAATGACTGCTTTTACTATTGTCAAAACAGTGCTGAGGGAGTGCTGAGTCCCAGGAGAAGAGGCCTGGGACACGCTCCCCAGAGGGGTCAAGCCATGCAGCTTGGCCTGGGAGTGAACAGTTAGGTTAGGACACGAGATTCCTTTGGAGATGGTGCAGCCTGGACCAGTAATGCTGGAAATAGCTGCTCCCTAACCTATTAGTTCAGGGCTCACAAAAAGATAAGGAGCTTGCTCCAGCAATTAGAGAAATGTCCTGCTTTTCATCAGGGAAGACTGGCTACAAAAAGCAAATGCAAGCCGGCTGAAATGTTGATATCACCGTCCTCATGATCAAAAAATCCTGGCTACCAAAACGCCAGATGAATG